AAACAGACTTCAAAGAGAAACAGCAGAACTAAAATTCATTTGCAAATTCAACACCATTAATCTGGGCTTGAATAGGGACTGGGAGTGGCTGGCTCCTTACAGAAGCAGGCTTTCCTCTCCTGGAATTGACACCTCCTCATCTATTACTGGGAGTGGACTACATCCACCCTGATTGAATTGGCCCTGTCAACACTGGTTCTCCACTTGCGAAATAACTCCCTGCTCTCCATGTGTCAGTATATAATGCCTGCATCCGTAACTTTCACTCTATGCATCCGAAGAAGTGAGGTTTTTACTCACGAAAGCTTATGCCCAAATAAATCTGTTAGTCTTTAAGGTGCCACCAGACTCCTTGTTGTTATTTTAGACATGGTCTATCTTTTGTTCTGTGCATAGTTTCCTGCAACTGTACTATATTTCCATCTTCATTTTGGGTTAAAACATTTAAAAAGCAAACTACACTGTCTTAATTACAAAAACTCTGATTCTCCATTATGCAAGCAATTAAAGAAAGACACTTTCTCCCCTCCAAACTATCATCTGCTATGGTGTCACACTATATCTCAAAAGAGCACCCTGTAACCCCCATATTCATCATTCATATAGGATTGTGATATTTCATACAAAGCATGCCTTATAAGATATCATACGAAAGGTCATGATGTGCTGAAACCCACTGTTCTGTCAAAATATGCATATCATTAGTGTGTAAGAAATTATGAGATTCTGCTGTCTGGTTGTTATTGAAATATGTTGTGACTTAGGAGTCACCCACTGCTATTTCTCCAGTGACAACAAAGGAGGTGACCCACACCCAGGTGGGCGTTAAATGACCATTAATCAGCAAGGGAGTTGTAAACAAGAGATATACAATTCTGTAAGAGAGTTGCACAAGCATCACACAATGGGGATTGCTCAACTCTATGAGGCCTTGTCTACACTGGCAAGTTACTGTGCAGTAAAGCAGCTTTCTGTGGAGTAACTCCCAAGGTGTACACACTACCACGCCGCTTACGGCATGGCTACACTTGCAGATGTAGAGCACTTTGAGTTAAACCAGCCTTCGTAGAGCGCAGTAAGGAAAGCGCTGCAATCTGTCCACACTGACAGCGCACTGGCGTGGCCACATTAGCAGCTCTTGCAACGTCCACAGAGAGCAGTGCATTGTGGTAGCTATCCTAGCATGCAAGTGACTGCAATGTGCTTTTCAAATGGGGCGGTGGAGTGGAGTGTATTGTGTGTATGTGGGGGGAGAAAGAGTGGGTTTTTGGGGGGCTGAGAGCATGTCAGCATGCTGTCTTGTAAGTTCAGAAAGCAGCAGACCTCCCCCTCTCCCCCCCCCCCCTCCTCTCTCTCACACACACACAGCATTCCACAGTAATGGTTGCTTTGTCTCAGAGCAGATAAGCATGACGGCTGTCAAACAGAGCTTTCAAAGGGCATATCCAACACACAATGACAAGAGTGGCCACTTGACTTAAGGGGATTATGGGACGTTTCTGGAGGCCGATCAGAGCGCAGTAATGCAACACCTCGTTCACACTGACACTGGGGTGCTCCAGTGGGGGCGCATCAAACATTATTCTACTCGCCGAGGTGGAGTACCAGGAGCGCTCTAGCCGTGGAGTCAGAGCGCTCTACGTGCCTTGCCAGTGTGGACGGGTAGTGAGCTAGTGCGCCCGGGGCTCCTTTAATGCGCTGTAACTCACTAGTCTAGCCAAGCCCTTAGTGTGCAGAAACTCCTCAGTTGCAGTGTTATCAAAAAAACACCTTGACGAGAGTGGTAAGCCTTAAAGCGCAGAGGCTCCAGCACTATATTGGCAATGTAAACACATTACAGTGCAGAAAGCAATCAACTGGCCTCCAAAAGTGTCCATAATCCCTCAAGTGTTCTTGTTTTGAACTGGGCTGCCCTGGAGACATGCTCCCCTCTCCTTTCAAAGCTCAGTTTCTGACAGCCATTGCATGCTGTGCTGATCTGCTCTGGGACACAAAGCAAACCATTAATGTGGCATGCTCCTACTGTTGAACACAGAGAGAGATAGAGAGAGGGGGTGTGTGTGTGAATGTGAGAGAGAGAGAGATTGCTGTACAGAGAGCTGGGGACGGAGGCTGTGGTTTCCCCCTCCTCCTGCCTCAAGACTGGTTGCTTCCTGCTGCTGTTTGAACTTACAAGACAGCATGCACACACTCTCTATCCCCCAAAACACAGTCTCCCCCCTCGTACCCCCATACACACACACACTCCCTGTTACACACTCTCGCCCCCCCCCCCCCGCCTTCAGTTGAAAAGCAGCTGGCAATGTAGTAGGATGCCCATGGAACA